TTCAGTGTTTTGTTTACATGTTTGAACGTAAATTTTTGTGAAAATTTTAATATTTATGGAAAAACGAAAGGTTAAAAATAATGGAGGAAAATCTAAATAATAGAAGAAGCGAAAAAGTAAAATGCAAATTTTACAAAAAATATCAGCGAATTTATGATTTTTCGGGCGCAATGTCAACCGGCATTGTGTAACTTGACGCATAAGCATGGTTGACGGTGATGGTGACGGTGGCGGTGACTCTGTCGCAATGGATGGTATGTACTTTCACTTTTAGAATTTAAAATGACAAACTTTCCGAACAAAATTGTGTCATTTTAAGTTTTAACAGACTGACAGACAATTTCACGAAAGCAATTTAAGTGAAAAATGATTCTAATTTTTTGACTTTTATATGGTAATTGACAGAAAATACAAAATCATTTTCCATTTAAATTTCTGGTGAAATAGGCTATGATAAATTTAAAATTGATTTTTGCAACCGGGCATAAAGGCTGTTAGGTGGTGTGATATACATTCCAGTTAAGTTGTTTTAATTTATTTAAAGAATAGTCCATTTGTACTGATAGTGCTCTCCAAATTCTGTACTTACAATTAACATCCCTTGCTTTTATATATAAAATCCATGGCATTAGTACTACATACATATGTATACGAGGCTGAGAAAATATTTTGATTTTAGGTGGATAAAAACTAAGCTCTGCTGTTCTACATGGCTCCATTAAATTAATAGCCGAACATTGTCTTACACTGTTTAAAAAATTTCATAAAATATTAATTTTATTCTCATTTAATTATTATTACCTATAAAATATAAGGCGGTTAAAAAACACTGTAAAATATATTAACTCTGCCCTGACTACATTTTTTAATAAATTTGCATGTAATTTGTTAGAAAAGACTTCCTCGAAAATTATAACCAATACAAAAGTTTTATTAGATATAATTTTCGAATAAGTATTTTGTAACAAATTACTTGAAAATTTATTAAAAAAAATGCAGTCAGGGCAGAGTTAAGATATTTTACAGAGTTTTTTAACCGCCTTATATTATTATAGATAATAATAATCAAATTAGTATATAATTAAACTTTTATGAAATGTATTAAACAGTGTAAGCCAATGTTCGACCATTAATTTACCGTAGCCAGAGCCGAACGAAACTTTTGTACACGACCATGGACGGTTTCAGGTATTATGTTTTCAAAATAGCCGGCACATCAAAACTTCGCTTTACGCAAGCAAACGTCAGAGTATCAATAAATGCATATGTGTTGGGTGGAGCAGTTACGCTTTCAATAATTTTTCTTCATTTTTTGTTTGTCAACAATGGTAACTTAAAATTCTGCCGGAAGTGCCAATAAAGTCAATGGAAGTCTGTTGCACAAAAATTAGAATCCAAAATCGATATAAATTATAAATAGCAACGAAAAAGTCCCAATGAGAAATCGAAGCAGGGAGTTACCGGTGAAGTGTGCGTTAGAGTGGTTCATAAAAACACTCTTTTTGGAAATTCATAAACGCTACATCAGAATATTGTTATTTGTGATAAAAAAAAAAAAACACGTATTTTTTTATTTTGAAAAACAAAGTTTTCTTAGAGGTCGCGCTGGTCGGTTTTTTATAAAAACGCTGATGTTCTCAATTTTTTTATTTTCTTGACATGTTAAAATGCAGCTAAAAATGTGGTTTTTACATATAATTACTCTGGTATTATTGGGGAACTTTCCCTTAATTACACACCTGTCTTGGACAATTAGAATGGGTCTAGTTCCCGAAAATATGCTATCGAAAAGACACTAGTAAAATTAAAACGTTTATGCTGAACGATTTACGTATTGTCATGGGTTGGAACTTGTTACCAGGGGGCTTCTAGGGTTGCTAATTAGGAATCTGAAGTCAGTTTTTCGAATTTCAAAATAGCGAATTTAGCAAAAACAAATAACTTATTAGATTTAGGTTTGGCTCACAATATATGTACAAACAATAGTTCAACAAAAAAGTCGTACAAACTACAAAAAAAAAACATTTTTAAAACATACACGAAATGGCAATCTTCTTTTTGGTATTTCTCTTATACGCGGCATTGCACGCCAAGCGACGATATACTAAAACGTATGAAGGCTGGCCAAAAGGCAGCTTTGCTGCAATTGCTTTAACCGCCTCATAGAAGTAAATGTTTTATTTGAAAACGTCTAGTAGGCTTATAACAAAGAGGTATGTCCCGTTCTAAATGAGTTCAACTAAACCGCTTCAGGTTATTTTAACGAAAATTTGCATTTGTATTCAAAAAAACTAGCAAAAATTTAAGATATTTGAAATAAAATAAAAATCATTTTCTGTTTCCATATTTACATATAACATATCGCTAGCTTAGGGTAAAAAGTTGCTTAGTCTATTTTCACAAATTTTACAGGAAAGGAAAAAAACTGCGTATAGTAATTTTCTTCAAGTACATATTTCGAAAAACTTTAAACAAAAAAATTGTGCGTGCTTAAGGCAAAGCAAAACTTCATACGAATCGGAAGGATTTGCCTCTTTTGAAAATTTGCAAAAAAAAAAGTTAAAAAAAGTAACTTGTTATTTTTCGAAACTTTGCATTTTTAATTTTTCTTGCTTCCTATATAGAAATACGAGTTTTCAAAAAAAGCGCTCCTACCAACTTTTCACTCTAATCGCTAATCTCAATCAAAGCTCGTTTTTAATCACTCCTTGTACACAGTCAAATCTCAGATTATTAGCTATCAAAATTGTTGTTTTTGTTGTTCTCACATCTCAAGGAAAAATTAGTTTTCTTCTCTGTGCCACTCTGATCACTTTTTTCTGCTACATATATTAAGCACTTTAAATATATTTTAACTTAATATTTTATTAAAAATATTTTTACAAACCTCTTTTCATTGTTGACTTTTACATATCACATTTCTCCTGTTCTTCGCAGAAATAATTGATAAAACTAGGTTGGAAACCGAAAATTTATCGGTTAACTCTGAGATTATTAACCGAATTCCAAATATTTTTTTGTTTTTTTTTATGTTTGTTACCGCATACCTTTGGACCACGTCAACCGATTTCAACCGACAATTCTTTTTGCATCGGAAAGCTAGTGTCTCAGAGGTGGTCCCATACTAATCCGGTTTAGATCCGATCATTGGATCATGAGATATATATATATATATATTTTTTTTTTTTATATGAGAATTGAACCTTATGTACGCAAGTATGAAAAAACTCGTAACTTCCACAGTTTTGGTGTTTCCATTCTCACATTTTTACAGCTTACTCCATAAAGTTTGACAACTATTGAGGTTAAAAAAAAATAAAAATCAAACATGGTAAAGTTAATAAAAAATAAAAAAATTAGATTTTTTAATGCATCAATTTTTTTATTTTAATCTATCTCACACTCTCATGGAAGCCGAGGTAATTACGCACATTTTGATACCTTAACTGATTTTCTCGGACAAATAGTTTATTAACTGCAAACAAATAAAAAAAGATACTTCTCCGTTAGTTCAAAATTTTGGGAATTTTTTTTTTGAGATTTTCGAATATCATGACGAAATAAAAAAATAGGTGTCTTCTTTTTTTCGATAAAGAATGTAAAAATATATAATTCACCCCAAAACAAATATTGATGTGTAAATATTGTATGGAATAACCCATATCTATATACCAGGGTTGTTGCGAATATTCACATTCGCCACCGCGGAGCTTCCGCGTTAATTTTATAATCAATGCGGAGATTTTGCGAATGCGAATGTGTTATGAAAAAAACTAGTTAATACAAAATTGCCCGCAAAACACTGTCCATTAGCGGGGGCCGAAAATCCGCTTTTTTAGAATTTTGATTGGTGATAACATAAATATGGTTCCTTTATGCTCTAAATACAATCTGTGTGAAAGATGACAATTTTTGGTCAATATCTTAGGCTCGCCGAAGTCCTTCAAAGTTCAAGTACAAAAAAAATTTCTTGGCTTACTTCGATTCTATACAAAAAATGTCAATATACCAAATTACACATGTAGGACTAATACTTTCGAAGATACTTGCAATTTTAGTAAAAAAAATTTATTAATTAATGTATTGATTAATTTTTATTTTTTGAGCAGATTGAACTGTAATGGACTTGGGCGAGCCTAAGATAATAATAATAATAATAGATTGGCGCTTACACATATGTTAGTGTTTGGCCGCGCTTCTCCTCCGATTTGTGGCGTGCGCCTTGATGTTGTCACACAAAGCGGAGGGACCTACAGTTTTACGCCGACTCCGAACGGCGATTGTATTTTTTTTGTATGAGAAGCTGTTTTTCATGGCAGAAATACACTCCGTGGTTTGCCATTGTCTGCCGAGGGACGACCGCTGTTAAGAAAAAACCTTTTTCTATATTTTTTTGCGATGTGGCTTTGACTAGGCTTTGAACCCAGGAGTTGCGGAGTGGAAGCGCGCACTGCTTACCACTACACCACAGCGGCCGCTTAAGAAGGTGCAGCTCAGTGTGTATATCAAATTTGGTCGAGATCGGTCTAGTAGTTTTTGAGATACGCATATATGATATAAGAGGGCGGTGCCACGCCCATTTTCCTTAAATTTTATGAAAAATAAATTTTTTGCTTAAGAGCCATTGTATATATAAATTTTAAGTAAATATTCGCGTAGTAATTCTGCGTACTTGCTATTAATATCGTAGGTTGTGATTGCGTATTGTTGCACATTAACTGCTTCTACGGCTCGGCTTTTTAACTACGTTTGGGCGTCTTTGATTGTTGAGTTGCGCATATCCACTACGATGTTAAATTTGCTTAAAAAATCGGCCCCTAGTATATTAGTATAAAGTCGTTTATTCGATTTGCGGTCGTAAATTAAAAGTCTATTGTTCAACATTGTGCTATATTGGCTGTTGCAGCGTGGGTTGGAGGATATATCAACGAATGTAGCTGCGGGCGCTGTTGACTTACGCAGTTTTTTGCTGTTTTGAAATTGCATGGTGTTTCGCATTTTTATGCTTTATCTCCGAAACGTCTGTGGTACCAACAATTTTTTTGCGGCATACCTTCTGATGAGTGACCTGTCTCACCAGTACGGCTATGTGAGCGAGGCCTGCTGCTCCGGCGTCGCCTGTTGCTCAATTTGATTCTGGCGAGTGCTCGCTCAATGCGCGACATTCCAGTTTCCATTGAGGAATTGCCATTTAGCTTGGTTGTTGGGGTAGTTTGCTCTTGTTCGCTACGAACTGTAACGGCGTTTGTCGAATTGGCTCGTACAACATCCATTATTTCGTCGGCGATTGATTCCAGCTCCTCCAAAGTAATGTCGGTATTCGCTTTGTCGATACCAGTTATCACTGCTCTTGCGGATACAGGAAGTTTCTGTAACCAACAGTCTTTAATTAATTGTTTGTCGGTAGTCACACCTGTGCGTTGTAGTTGCGTGAGCATGTGGCTTGACTTTCTGTCACCTAGCTGGATACCCGATATTAGCTGCTCGAGGCGCGTGATTGGCGATACTGAAAATTTATTTAAAATCGCTTGGCGTAATGTTTCGTACTTGTCCTTGTTTGGTGGGTTTCGTACTATGTTGTATGCTTGCCCGTGCAGCCGTTCATTCATGTACATCACGGCTATGTTAAACTTTGTACTGTCTCGTCCTTCCTGGTTCAATTTCCCGAGAGGTTTATTCGAAACAAAGCTTCTAGTCGGGTGAACGATGATTCGATTCCTTGTAGCGAAAATGCGTTGAGTTGTGGGATTTGTACGCGATCGGAAAAGCTGTTAACGTCAGCGTTGTCAGTGGTTTGGGTACCTGATGTGGTTGATGTATCTTTATTGTCAGGGACGGCACCATCCAGGTTTTCTTGGGTATTTGGCATTTCACGAAAAAGGAAATGGGAAGATGGTTTGTAATATGTAGGACCACCGCGAGCAGTAGGCTGTTCGCGGATAATGCGACGTCGTAGCCGTAAATAGGTGATGCAGTCGACACCAGTAGGGCCGTGTCTTGTCAGTGGTGGCGGGCTGCGTTGAAAGCGCGTTTAATTGATAGCACAAAGATAGACTTGCTGATAGGATAGGTTGTGTGACACGTTGTAAGGCTGTGGTTGTCCCAACCTACTCACTTGCAAGCGCAGATTAGTGGATGTAACCAGATTTAGTTCCAGTACCAGCACAGGGAGTACGTTTTTTTTGCCAAGTTGCGGTTATGTGATTCCCTACCATGTACTTCTGTTGCGAATGTTGTTCTGCTATCGGGGTCACCAGTTTGTAGGGGTTCTTATATTGTATTAACAATATTTATTAGAAAGGTATATTAACGTTTAAGTTACAAATAAATGTCTAAAATGTATGATTTAATTCAAGTGCCTTTTATAAGTTGAAATTTCTGCACACCAGTCCATCCGGGTCCACGGTCACCAGAAGAGAGAGCGAAGCGAACAAACGATAGGCGCAAGGTTGCATTTTAGCTTGTGATAAAATAGCGCCTTTGGCGTTGCCACAAACCCCTTGGCCACACTGCTCAAAAATCTGCACTCCGGTACATACACACATACATATATGTAAATTCAAGGCCGTATTTTTCCTTGAATTTTTATGTAATTACATTGGGTAAGATATCAATTTATTCGAAAATAAACGTTCTTTTAGACAAATACCACATATTCGGCAATTTTCATAGAAATTTTTGAAATTATCGATGATCAAAATTCAAAAAATTAACAAATAGGGGTTCATTAAAATTGCCCGATGAAAATCCCAACAAGCTAAGCCTAACAATATATTGTTATACATGGTTTAAAAGGCCTATAAATACTCTTTTCGAAACTTGTTCGATCGGATGGAAAATAGTTAAACTATTAATAAATAAGTGCATCAAGTACGAAAATAATGCTTTGTTTGGTATAAAAATGGAGGGTTCAGGAACTATACGGGACCTATTTTCATGCTGTACTCGACCATACCTACAACCTACACTAGGTTTTGTTTCGGGTGTATTTAATGACCTTATTGTAGCATCGTGTTATTAATGGTTATATTGATACCGAAAACGATGTAAGTTTGAAGTTTCATTTTAACAAAACGTGTATCAAACCAATAGTGATACTTTTTTTGAGTGTATTATGTTTCCAGGGAAGCCAATTTGTAGGAAATTCCACGATTTGCGGGGAAACGGGGCATGGACCGCGTTTTGCGGGGAATTTTGTATTAACTATTTTTTTTTTTCAATTTGGTTTGCTGGTCTCAATTTGATATTGTTAAGGGTAAAACTTGTGTTTTTCTTCATCAAATTAGTAACCAAAATACAAATCTAATATTTTTTAATACACTTTTTATATTAGGCGTGATTTATTTAATGAGAAATGTAAGCTATTACTTTATTTTGTATAGAAGACTTAGCCAACATACTATATCTATGTATGTACATGGGATTTCTGTGGACTAATGATACTTTCGCATTTTGAAGTTGCCACCAACTCTATTATATAGATTCAAGGACGATTCACCATAGGCCCAGATCATTGTTGCCAGAAGAACTTCTTCACGGATATAACTCTTTCAAAACCAAACGTGAACGTGAATTGTTGGTAAAACCGTTGGACCAAATATTAAAAAAAGATAATAATTTTGGGCGGACCGAAGTCCGCCGGGTCTGCTAGTAATAACATAAAAACCGATTTGGTTTTTATTAACTCGTAACTTCAATTCCAGTCCTGCTTAAATACAAAAATTTAAAACTATAGGTTTGTCTCTACGGCAAGGCATTGGTGTTATTGAAGAGATTAAAAAGCATTAACTCAAATGGAGAATAACGAATATTTGAAAACAATTAAATTCTGTCTTGTAACGAAAGTAAGGATTCATATCTTAGTGTAGTGTAATCCTCATTACTTTTTAATAATAGTAAAAAAGTGGCAACTAAATCGATGCATTAACACCACTGGAATAAAAGTGTCGAGTTCCGTCCAATCCCTGAAATAAACTGAATAAAAAGAAACATTAAACTGTATTTACATTTTTGTTGTTTTTCGAGCATATTTGGGAGCAGGGTTGTTGCGAATATGCGCATTCGCATTCGCAACCGCGGAACTTCCGCATAAATTTTTACATTCGCATTCGCTTTCGCATTCGCAATAATCAATGCGGAGCTTTTGCGAATGCGAATATTGTGCAAGTGCACCGATAAAACGTTTATCTGGAAAACAAAAAATTTTTGCCAACATTTTTTGCCTGTGGAGGGAGATACTACGTTAAGACTGTCCACCTACGTCCCCCTTCTGTCGTAATTTAAAGTCAAAGAGTAAGGTAATAGTAGGTATTTCCAGCGGAAATGTTCAACGGCTGGCCATAAAGAGAGTCGACTATTTGCGCGTTAAAAGATTACCTTTAATTAGGTAAGAATTATGTTACTGTCGAATATTATTTGTCAAAGGTCTGTTGAAAAACTGGATGCATCGCTAGTTTTTTTCTACGTTTTCTTAGGAAAGTGTAATTTTTTTTCTCATAAAACTTATTATGCTTAAGTTCCGTGTTTCCTTTTATTAGTCTAAGCTCTACCATTTCCACATTAGTGGAATTGATTTCCACATGAGTGGAACTGATTTCATTGTCACATATGAAAAATATGAATTTAAAAGCAAAAAAGCTTTTGACTGCCGTAGCCGAGTAGATAGAGATGTCGACTATAATTCCGTGTGTCGCAGGTTCAAATGCCGGTACATGGAGTATTTAATTGTTAGGTTAGAAACAAATTTATTAATATACAAAATTTATATATTTCACATGAAATTTCAATTTGTCAATAGCATTTTCAATCTTGATAATTTATCAAGAAAAGAGCTTTTGATTTCTGTGCTAGAATACCAATTCTTGATAAATAATAAAAAATTTACAAATTATTTTGTTGCTGTTAGTATTTATTTACGACCCGTTAGGAATCAGGCTGTAACCCGAAAAGGCAGCAAAATTAATCTTTCTTAAATACAATTTGCCATTTTTTTAATGTAAATACTAAATAAAAAAACAGTTTTAAAAATTACTAACTTTTCCATTTTTTATTTACCTAAATCACCTAATGCACTCACCAAAATTATTTCTTAAAAATATTTGACATCCGTATTCGCATCCGCGGATGTCTAAAATTCCACATTCGCAACATCCCTATTTGGAAGCATATTTACTAATGTTTTAATGTTTATCTAAGCGCTTAAAATTACTTTTTTCCTGCTTATTTTCTTCGACCCTGCTCATCACACATCACTTTAACTGAAACATACCTTTTTAGTTTTTCCAGAATACAAAGGAAGGCAACAAATTCAAATTTTGTGTGCGTGGCATGCATAAACAAAGAAAGTTGTAGGTAGGAGGTTAAATTGTTTTGAAGTTGCATTTATAAAGGGTACAAAGTTTTGTTTTAGAGGCTTGCATTAATCAAGGAATTGCACGAATTGAGGGTTGCGTTTACCGTATATGCACTGTATATATTTTTCATCGGAAATTAAGTTAAGGCTCAACCTACGAAAAACGCGTTTTTATACTTTAGGTCCCGATTTTGAGGGTGGATTCATAATTCTAAGTATGCATATTTTTTGTGCATCATTAGATCTGTAACTCTATCAATCACACAGTGTTATTATCGCGACGAAATCCTGGACGGTGGTACTGGGGGGGAACGGTACATGACGGTAGAAGGTTTAGTTTGGGTTAAAGTCTCACACTGATGGGGTTAAGCTTTCGATGCTTCTTCCTCGTAAAAAAAAACCTGTGCAGTAAAAATTTATCTTATTACATTAAACGAGCAATTCTTGTATATATATATATATATATATATATATATCCATAGGGTTCTCGGAAACGGCTCTAACGATTTTGATGAAATTTTGTACACAGATAATGTTTTGGATTTTAATGTCATCTGTGTAGGCATTATCTCCGAGAAGACTCGTATAAGGTTGCCACCTATTCGAAATTAATTACAAATTAATTAAAACATCATAATATGGGTATCAAATGGAAGGTATTTTAAAGATACCTAATTCAAAAATATTTTTAAGGGGGTTGCCACCTATTTTGAATCGCATCTTTATTTAATTTTTTGTTCAGAAAAAAAAGTAAAATATTACTATTCATGGGCACCAAGAGAAGATTCTTAAACAATGCTTTCCCTATATACAAAATGTTATCCCCTAGGAAAAGTGTAAGGTTGCCACTTATTTTCGATTCTTCACAATTTATCTAAGACATCGCAATATGGATATCAGGTATTGTTGAGAACTTTGGTCAGAATATATTTTCGATCAAGGTTGCTTCTATGTAATACAAATTTGTATTTTGTTAATTTCAATCAGCATTTTTTGTAAGTATACACAGTACATATACGCTTAAGACTTGTACTATTGATTCCAGCGTATTTCGGAATGGGGTTGCCACCTAAATTTTAGAGTAAGAAATTTACTTACTAGATATCGAAGTCCATTTTTTTTTCAATTCCAAAATATTTTTTTAAAGCTATCCAAATTTTGAAAATTTTAAAAAGTATATGCACTCCGGGCAAAGCTCGGTCAACCTGGTACTTTATTTAAATCGACGAATAGTTTTATATCAACTTTCGGGAACTTCTATTT